TTCACTCCTCAAATGTGTTCACTCTTCTGCAGTAGCCAGAGCTGAGTTGATCGGAAGCTAGAGGCCAAAATCTTCCTGTGAGTCTCCCACATAGTTGTAGGGTCCCAAGGCTTTGAGCCATTCTCTTCTACTTTTCCAGGCTACAAGCAGGCAGCTGGATGGGGAGCGGAGTATCTGGGACATTAGCTGGCTTTCATATGCAATTCTGGTACTTGGAAGTGGATTAGCCAGTTGAGCCATTGCACTGGCTCCCTGTAACTGCTTTTCAAATAAAAATAATCTTAAAACAACAAACTATCAAAAATTGAGACCCATGTGATGGTATTATAGGTTTATGTCCTGATGTGTGATGATTTATGAGACTGGACACAGCGGTGAAATTAGAAGTGAAGATGGAAGGGGCTGGTGAGACGAGAGATGGCGGCTGAGGTCTTGCAGTCTAGAAAGTATTTATCACTTTTAGCACATTATCTTCAAGGAACAATGAGTGGTCGACCACATACTAGTTGCTAGAAAGTTTGGTGGGGACAGTTTATTTATTTTTATTATTTTATTCTGATGATTTTTACATAGTTGGTTAGGGCACAAAGGATCAAGGGCTACAGGAAAATGGGCAACACCATTGTTTCCACATTCTCTTTTTTTCTTCCTGTATGTGGGGGAAGCGGGGAGAAAAAGGGAGAAGCCCCACCCAGCCTCTCAAACATCCCAGGGTCCCCGATGTGGGGCATGCTCCGAGGGCACTGCTCAAGTGGTTTTGATAGTTCAACAGTTCTGAATTTCTGCCAGTCATGCCATTCTAAGCATGATGAAATCTCTCCAGACTCTGCTGGCTAACATAGTCCACCTAAGAGTCTCTTTTTGGCCAGATTTTCACTGCCAACACATGGCTGGGGTTGTTGATTGATTTCTTCTGTCCTCCATTCTCTGTTATGGTACCAGGTGTCCTCTGCAGGCTCCAGTGTACAGCCATATTCTCCCTGTGCATCTGGATAGGCTGTCCACTGCTCCATCTGATCCACTGAAGAGGCACAGCTTTGACACATGCACTCCATGGTCAGGGGTTCTCTCCTCTTCATGATTGGGGTTCTGAGTCCAGTAGTTTCAGAAGGTTGAAAGACAGCCTGTCCCCTCCTTGAGTGACCCTTGATCTTTTTCTAATGCTCCCTACTTTCCCCCAAAGAAACTTTGTCTGAGGTGATCCCAGACCTGGTCCTTGTGTGTCATTGCCAGTACAGGGTCTGGCACAGTCCGTTGCCCAAATCAGCTTATGCATATGCTGGTGGTTGCAATTGCTGGGTCAGTTTTGTTTCCAACCCTGTCTTCTACACAAACCAGTGAGTGTTGCAATACAGCCCAATCCTGCCCACTACACATTTGGCCCTCATGCAAACCAGTGGGAGCTATAGCCTAGTCGGAGCGGCCTACAATAACCACCACCAGGCCTGCTCCCTGCCCTGGTTCCCGTGCTTGCCAGTATGTACAGCAGACTGATTCAGTCTATCAGGTGGGGCAGTCTTTTTTTTTTTTAATGTTCATTTTAATGGGAAAGGCAGATATACAGAGGGGAGGAGAGACAGGAAGATCTTCAGTCCAGTGGTTCACTCCCTAAGTGGCCGCAACAGCCGATACTAGGAGCCAGGAGCATCTTCAGGTCATCCTCACTGGTACAGGGTTCCAAGGCTTTGGGCCATCCTCCACTGCTTCCCAGGCCACAAGCAGGGAGCCAAAAGGGAAGCGGAGCTACCTGGATTAGAACAGACACCCATATGGGATTCTGGTGCGTTCAAGGCAAGGACTTTAACTGCTACTCTATTGCACGGGGCCTAGGACAGTCTTAATGAACCTTTTCTCCTGATTCTTAATGAACCTGGCTACTGTAGTTGATAAGTGTTACCAGCAGCTGGGGGATGGCATTAGTCTGGCCTGCTTTTCTCAATGGGGGTCTTCCCTAAGTCTTGTGACCTCAGATCTTGCACATTAAGGATGACAGAGTCCTCAGTTAAGCCTGCTTTAGATAATAAAGCAAGCAGTAAGTTTGTTGTTTAATGTTCGGTGGTAAAATCCATTTCCGCCTGTATATATATATATATATATATACTCATGCATACATATTTATATATATATTTTAAGATTTTTTTTGTTTTATTGGGAAGGCAGATTTATGGAGAGAAGGAGAGACAGAGAGAAAGATCTTTTCATTTGCTGGTTCACTCCTCAAATGGCCACAACAGCTAGAGTTGAGCCAATCAAAAGCCTGGAGCCAGGAGCTTCTTCTGGGTCTCTCATCCAGGTGCAGGGTGCCAAGGCTTTAGGCAACTTTGTACTGCTTTTCCAGGCTATGAGCAGGGAGCTGGATGGGAAGTGGAGTAGCTGGGACACAAACTCATGTCCATATGGGATCCCAGTGTATGCAAGGCAAGGATTTAACCATTTAGCCGTTGTGCCAGGTCCTGCCAGTATAATTTTTTTAAAAGATTTATTTATTTACTTTTTTATTTGAAAGGCAGATTTTACAGAGAGAAGGGAAGACAGAAAGATCTTCCATCTACTGGATCACTCCCCAAATTGCTCCAGTAGCTGGAGCTGATGCATTCCGAAGCCAGGAACCAGGCATTTCCTCTGGGCCTTTCGTGTGCGTGCAGGGCACAAGGACTTTGGGCCATCTTTAACTGCTTCCCAGGCACATTAGTTGGAAGCTGGATTGGCAATGTATTAGCTAGGACTTAAACCAGCGCCCATATTGGATGCCGGCACCACAGCACCACAGGTGGAGGAGGCTTTACCTGCTATGTCATGATGTTACCCACCTAAATATTAAAAACTTACTACATGCTTGCCAAAATCAAAATGTTCTCTTTTTTTTTTTTTTAAGATTTATTTTTATTATTTTTTTATTGGAAAGGCGGATATACAGAGAGGAGGGACAGAGAGGAAGATCTTCCGTCCGATGATTCACTCCCTAAGTGAGCGCAACGGCCTATGCTATGCCGATCCCGAAGCCAGGAGACTCTTCCGGGTCTCCCACATGGGCGCAGGGTCCCAAAGCCTTGGGCCATCCTCGACTGCTTACCCGGGCCACAGGCAGGGAGCTGGAAGGGAAGCAGGGCTGCTGGGATAGAACCGGCGCCCATATGGGATCCCAGGCATGCAAGGCGAGGACTTAACCACTTGCGCCACCGCGCTGGGCCCCAGAATGTTCTTTTAGATCCCACTGATGAGTCTTGCTTTGTTTGGGAGCTTGGAGTGCTGTTTTACTTTCTGGCACTACAAAGTATTCCAGGCCCTGCTCCTACTCTCCCTGCTTATGGCCTACAATAAGCCATTTTTCAGAATGCCCTGGCTCTTTTCATTAGTATTTATTAATATTTAGAAACCAGGGCCTGGAGCCAATGCAGTGGCTCAATTGGCTTCATCCTCTGCCTACAAGTGCCAACATCCCATATGAGCAACAGTTTGTGTCCCAGTAGCTCCGCTTCAATCCTTCTCCCTGCTTATGGCCTGGGAAAGCAGTAGTGGATGGCTCAAATCCTTGGGAACCTGCACCCACATGGGAGGCCAGATGAAACTCCTGCCTTTGGGTAAGCTCAGCTCTAGACATTGTAGCCATTTAGGGAGTGAACCAGAAAATGGAAGTCTTTTCTCTGAAATCTGCCTTTCCAATAAAAATAAATGAGTCTTAAAAAAAAAAAAGGAAAGAAACAAAATTGGGGTCTGGGCACTGGTGAATAAGTTTTTTTTAATATTGTTTTAAGATTGATTTATTTTTGTTGGAAAGGCAGATTTACAGAGAGGAGACAGAAAGGTCTTCCATCTGCTGGTTCACTCCCCAAATGACCGCAATGGCCAGAGCTGAGCTGATCTCAAGCCAGGAGCTTCTTCCAGGTCTCCTATGGCTTTGGATCATCCTTGACTACTTTCCAGGCCACAAGCAGGAAGCTGGATGGGAAGTGGAACAGCTGGGACATGAACTGGTGCCTATATGGGATTCTGGCGCATGCAAGGTGAGGATTTAGCCACTGAGCTATTGCGCCGAGCCCTGAATAATTTACTTTCTGAGTCTTTAGCTAGCATTTTCAGAAATCCCAAGACTAGAGCTGATCTTGGGACACAGAGGGTTAAGCCACTAAGCCACTGTCTGTGTCACGAACGTCTAGTATCAGAACTTAGTATGAGTCATGCTGCTGTTTCCAATCCAGCTTCTTTTTAGTGCACTTGGGGGAGTAGTGGAGCTGGCCCGTGTACTTGGGTTTCTGCCACTGCACATGAGAGACCTGGATGAAAGTTCTAGCCTTGGCTTTAGCCCACTCCAGATGTGGCTTTTGTGGGTCATTTGTGGAGTGAGCCAATGTGTTGAGAATTGCTCTGTGTCCCCTGTCTCCCATTCCTTTTTTTTCAAATAGGTTATTAGAAGCAGGTGAATAGAAAGAGGTTTTGTTCCCACAAACTTTCCCCAGATCTCAGTCCTTTAGTTGCTCATCAGTACCAAGCCTCACCTGCTCCTAAAATTCCAATTATCATTCTTGTGATAAGCTCCCCAAGGCTTCTAAATAAAAAGACAGGTCTTTTGTAACGGAACATTGCATGGCAGTTGTGAAAAGGCTAAGAGGAGAAGACCAGATTGTCTGGTACCAGGAGAAGAGCTAAAGGTGTAGCTACCAGTTTGGGAAGGTTTGCTTTCGGCCTGGCCCTGTTCTTTGATGGGCTTCACTTGAATTTTCTGGTTTGATTTCACTACTACTCAAGGTGGGTCATGGAATCTCTTTCCCTTGTCTCTCCCCACATATTTCAGTGGTGTGATTTGAGCCCTGAGTATGACTCATCTGTAAACGGGGCTGGGCTTGGCATGAGTCACTAGAAGGTGGCCACTGCCACCACAGCAGGGCTGTGGGGATGTGTGCGCCCTGAGACTGGGAGGCCTCGCACCAGCCAAGCATGTTTTTGTATTAAAGACCAAATGATGCCATGAAGTCAACTATAAAATGCCCCCTTCCTTCTCCCAATCCTTGTCCAGTCCTTCACCCCACCCCTCTGCCAGGATAACCAGCACAGCAGGTGCATGTGTGTGCCTCTGGAACTCAGTTTTTGCACAGATGTGCTTGAGTGTCTGAGAGCTGTTGGAGAGATTGGTCCTACAAGGGCTCTGCTTTCAGATAGCATCTGCTTGCTTTTCAACTGAGCTGTTTCCTGGTCCCAGATGGAAGAACTGAGCCACTGAAACAGGCCTCTCGTCTTTCTTTTTTTTTTTTGAACGAAGATTTATTTATCTGAAAGACAGTGACTGAAGAGAGAAGGAGAAGGAGATAACCAGCAGTCTTCTCTCCACTGCTTAACTCTCCACAAGGCCTGGGGCTGCATTGGCTAAAACCAGGAACCAGGACCTCCTTCTGTGTCCTCCCACATAGGCAATACATTCACTGCTTTCCCAGGCCTGTTACCAGGGAGCTGGATGGGAAGCGAAGCTCTGACTGACACTCTGAGATGGGATGGGTGCTGGAGTTGCAGGTGGCGGCTGAACCTGCTGTGCTGTAGTGCCAGCCAGGCTTGTCTTCTCAGTCTGAACTCTGCAGGCTGTGGCTTCCTATTGGACTTTATAGGACCTCCTCTCCCCTGGGATCCAGTACAAGTACAAGAAACACATTAGGTTTGATTCTGTAAATGTTAGGTCATTGAAAATCTTGTTTTCCAGGGAAGGTCAGCTTATTGGCTCCTAAAGTAAGTTCCTGCAGGCTGCGAAGTGGAGGATCAGCTGGTGGTGGACCTTTGGACTTTAGTCAAAGAGAGTAAGTACAAATGGCTCTGCCTGGTTTATTGAGGTGTGTATCTGTGACTAAGAAATGTGTGTAAATGGAACAGAAGTGGTAGAACTTATGGGCAATTTTTTGCAATTAACATAATCACCAATGAGTTTAGCTTTGTTTCAGTTAGATTTAAAACACACCCACTCCCTCCCTCCCTCCCTCCTTTCCTCCTGGAGACCGTGTTCTCTCCTCTGGCCTCAGATGGTGACAAGCCTGGCTGGCCCTAGCAGCGCAGAAGTGGCTCTCTGCTGCTAACTTAAGGGCCACTGAAGGTGGACTCACTCCAATTATTTCTCTTGCCCCACAGGTTGACGGACTTCAAAGATGCAGCTGGTACTACTTGAGGGGTGTGACGTCTTCTCTGAGCCAGGCCATGAGGCCATGTGGCCATGACGTGGGCCTCTCGTGGCCTCAGCATGAACAGGGCACTACAGTGTCATCCTCTGTCAGAGAGCCAGCTGCCAGCAGCCTGCGCCCGCAGCCCCGGAGCCTGCCCCGCCGCTTCTTGAGGAACCTCTCTGAGGGCAGGGTCCAGTCCCGGGCCCATCGGCAGGTGAAGCCAGTCTGGAAACTGGAGAGCCCCGTGGGCACGGTGCCTGCAAACCTGGCCCCAGATCCACTGGAGCTCCAAGGCCAGCCTGCATATTTCTTTTGCCCCAGTTCTTTATGTAGCTCTGGAACCATAGCCGTCCTCGCTGGCAGCAGTGGCACCTATTGCCTGCACACTCTCCCGTACCTGTTCAGCAGTCCCCTGCTGTGCCGCCGCTCAGCCACCTGGCACAAAGCAACCCAGCCACCAGAGTCTTTGTGCTTGCATTCCAACTCGTCAGAAAAAACACCTTTTCCTCCTCCTCGAAAGAGCCTCCCTGTCAGTTTCACTGCCAGTAAAGCCACCTCTTCCGCGGCCTTCCCCATGGCTCAGCCGGTGGCATCCCCATCTGCAGAACTGTACCTTTCAGCAGCGGTGGCTGGGGAAACCCCTGTGAGGAAGAGCCTTGCCTGTGCCTTCTCAGGGAAGATCCCTGCCACGCTCTCCTCCCCCTTCAAGCCTGCGCTGAACAATAACTCCTTCATGAGGCCAAACAGCACTAGAGTGCCTTTAGCGCAGGCCACCGAGGGCCTGCAGCCTGTGTCCTCCCCGAAGACCCAGGCTGTCTCGTGGCATCACCTGGGGGGCACTGGAGACTGTGCACCCCGCCCTCTTGACTGTAAGGTGCCCAGGGGCTTTGGAGCCATCTTAGATGACACCACTGCCCGCATCGCCCCATCTACTCCTCAGTCCCTCCAAACATCCGCCACCAGTGTTGCCTGTTGCCAGAATAACCGGTGTGGCTTAGCCCCAAGGGCAGAGCCGCCTCGCTGTGGCCTGGAGGACAACTCTGACTCTCAGACGCGTTCTAAAGAGGTTCAGCTCACGGAGGCTGTGAGGAGGTTGACTGCCAAAAGCTGCGAGAGGATGCGGAGGCAAGGCAGCCCACTGGAACAGTCCTGTTTTATGAATTCCCACTGCCAGTGGAGTCTTCTCAGCAGGGGCAGGCGGTGGGAACCTCCTCCCACGACAGACCAACAGCTTGCCCAGGAGGATGCTCTGCCAGACTGCAGGGTCTCCCCTGGCGCCTCAGACACCTTGGGCTTGGACAGTACCGTGTTCTGCACCAAACGCATCAGCATTCACCTCCTCGCCTCACACACCAACAGCCTCAGGCGCAGCACCACCAGCAGATCTGCTGGCAGCCTCTCACCAGCTGAGGAGGACAAAGCACTGCCTCCTCCTCTGCCCCCTGAGGCCCTCAGCATGGCTGGCATGACCTCCTGCCTCTCTTCCATCCATCTGGACCAGCCTGAGAAGGAAGGTCCTGAGGAAGTCACAGAGCTGGATTTACCTGCCAGGGATACTGGGTAAGCCAGAGGATGTTTAGGTTCATTTAGAACACTGGGATGCAGGCCTTATAATTTGGTGATGCTGACCCTGTACCTCTGAGGGTTGGCTTTATTTGTTTATTTATTTAGTTAGTTAGTTTTGGTTGGCCTAGAGTTTGGAACTCTCACATTAGGATAAGGGTTAGGAAACTAGCTTATAGGCCAAATCCTGCTTGTAGCCTGCTTTTGTAAATAAAGTTTTATTGAAAAGCAGCTTTGCCAATGAGTTGTTGGTCCTGGCTGCTTTGTGATGGCTTATGGTGGAGTGGAGGAAAACTGCAAAACTGACAGTACTTAGTCCTTCCGAAAAAGAATTTTCCAGCCCTGTCTTAAGTTATAGCTGGAGAAGAAACTGAACATCAGGTGTTACTGCCTACAATTTTCCTACTGCTTTCAGAACCAAATCACGTTCCTGAGTGTTCCTGGCATGGTGGCTGTTTAGAATTAGCATATGTTTGTAGTTGGTTTTTTCTTTTGTGCCTGGTTATTTTTTCTGGGGACCTAGTCCATCAAGGCCTCGAACTGAGTACAACTATAAGACATTTGCAGTCACTTGCCCAGTACTCCCTGATGGCTGTTTGCATGCAAGATTCTGTACTTTGGGACTATGAAGGAACTTCTGAGAAAACATAATACATCTGTGTGGAGTGAAGGTATATGGCTGATGTCTGGACTCATGGTTAGACCTAGCTTTGAGGGCCGGAGAAGCAGGTTGGGAGGTTTAGGCAAGGGAATAGCAGATAGGTGACAGGGAACAGACACATAGTGGGGAATGATGGAGGAATGAGTAGCTGTCACCTCTTATGAGACTGCCTGGGGCCTGGGGCCTGTCATTTCTTACTTTTAGTTCAGCTAGTGACCTCCAGTCAGAACAAGCTGAGGCTGAAGACATAGAAGAAGAACTAGTGGATCGTTTGGAAGAATGCTGCAGTCACGATGAGAATGAAGAAGAGGAGGGTGAGTAGGACACCTTTTGCTTCCTGCTAGGTCTTGGTCCTGACCAGCTAGAGAAGTGGTTAATCGTTTTATAGCAGGTCCTAAGCTCACATTGGCACCTGCATCCGTCTTGTGCTTTGCGGGCTTCAGGGCGGTGGGGAATGGCTTCTAGGGGGTTTATGTCTCTAGTCTTCCTCCCCGCACTGGTCTTGGCTCCTCTCTGCTGCTGGTGAGCTCCAGGGAGGCTGCATGAGGCCTCATGTAGGCTACTGTGGCAGGGTGGGGCTCATAGTTGCTCGAGAAGGCCTGAGCCCAGCGGGCCCCTGCCCAAAAGGGCTGCCCAAGCTCAGTGAGTGTGGGGCAGCCTCTTCCAGTCCCGACGTCTCTGCTCTTCCTCCCCCCAGGAGAGTCAGAGTGTTCCTCAGTAAGTGCTATCTCCCCTGGCGAGTCCGTGGCAGTGATCTCTCGGTGAGTGTTGGCTGCCTTGGTCACTGGCAGATGCTCATTTTCTGTCTGTTCCAAGATTATAAAGAGGTGAACCACTCCAGTTGTTAATTCCCTCCTCCCCCCAAACCCTAACTCACTTTTTTTTTGGTGGGGGAAAATTGTTGATCACTTTAGGTTTTGAACAGGGTGTATTGGGGGACCAGAAGTATATCTTATGAGTTCAGTTTGGTCTATTGGCTCTAACAAACGATTCAAATAAAAGGCAAAGAAGTTTATGGAGTGTTTAGAAAATTAGTAACTGATTAATGAAGAAACCTATATTTGAGGTAAATTCTTTAGGCCACCTGTGTAACGTTAATTGTAGACTTTTTACTGTGAAAATTGTCCCAGTATCAGAAACAGTTCTGGGCCCGGCGCAGTGGTCTAGTGGCTAAATTCCTTGCCTTGATTGCACTGGGTCCTATATGGGCACTGGTTCTAATCCCAGCACCCCTGCTTCCCATTCAGCTCCCTGCTTGTGGCCTGGGAAAGCAGTGGAGGACAGTCCAAGGCCTTGGGACCCTGCACCCACATGGGAGACACGGAAGAATCTCTGGGCTCCTGGCTTCGGATTGGGTCAGCTCCAGCCATTGCAGTCACTTAGGGAATGAATTGTTGTATGAAGATCTTCCTCTCTGTCTCTCCTCTCTGTATATCTGCCTTTCCAATAAAAATAAATAAATCTTTAAAAAGAAAAAGTAAGAAACAGTTTTGAGATGTACCATCAGTCAGTTTTTTTTTTTTTTTTTTTTTGGAAGGTATGTTTTCATTGGAAAGGCAGATTTACAGAGAGATGAAAAGACAGAGAAAGATCTTTTGTCTGCTGGTTCATACTCCAAGTGGCTGCAACAGCTGGAGGTAACCTGATCTGAAGCCAGGAACCAGCAGCCTCTTCTGGGTCTCGCACATGCGTACAGGGTCCCAAGGATTTGGGTTGTCCTCCATTGCTTTCCCAGGCCACAAGCAGAGGAGCTGGATGGGAAGTAGAGCTGCCGGGTCACCAACTGGTGCCCATATGGGATCCCAGTGCATGAAAGGTGAGGATTTAGCCACTAGGCTACTGTATTGGACCATAGTTGGAACTTTTAAAGATGTTCTTTTGCTCCCTTCTGAGATTTACTTCCCATTGGGAAATGAGACTGATGATAATCTTAGTGATAAGAAGTTAAACTTAAAATGCCCTGGCTTTCATCTAGGTTATTCCATTAGCTACCTTGGTGAAGTCTGAATGATGTTCTTCTTTAACTAGGGAACCAGTAAAGTCAGTCTTTGAATATAGACCTGTTTTTGGAACAGGCAGATAATATAATGGTAGGGAGCTGATTGAAGGAGGAATATGTGGAGGCTTTCCTTTTAAAACCTAGTTGCTATTGAAAAAAAAATTTTTTTTTAAGATTTTATTTTTATTGGAAAGGCGGATATACAGAGAAGAGAGACAGAGAGGAAGATCTTCTGTCCGATGATTCACTCCCCAAGTGAGCGCAACAGCCGATGTTATGCCGATCCGAAGCCAGAAGTCTCTTCCAGGCCTCCCACACGGGTGCAGGGTCCCAAAGCTTTGGGCCGTCCTAGACTGCTTTCCCGGGCCACAGGCAGGGAGCTGGAAGGGAAGCGGGACTGCTGGGATTAGAACTGGCGCCCATGTGGCCCCCGGGCATGCAAGGCAAGGACCTTAACCACTGCGCCATTGCGCCAGGCCCTAAGGCGAGAATTTTAGCTGGTAGGCCACCGTGCTGGGCACCAAAGGTCTTCTTTACACTGTGTTTATCTTGAGGTCCACTTCAGATCAGCTATACCACTTTTTTTACCAGCCTTCCTGTTATTTGGAATTCTCTAGAGGTGTTTAATCATCTACTCTCTAATTCCTGCAAGTTGTGCACACCTGCAAATCTGGATAAGTCTTTAATCGTGGTTTTCAAGAGATTCATGAATTTCAAATCACATTATTTATGTTTTTAAAGGTTTATTGACTTTTATTAGAAAGGCGGTTTTACAGAGAGAAGGCTAGACAGAAGATCTTCCATCCAGTGGTTCACTCCTGGAGCTGAGCTGATTCAAAGCCAGGAGCCAGAAGCTTCCGTCTGGTCTCCCACATAGGTGCAGGGTCCAAAGGCTTTTAGGTCATTTTCTACTGCTTTCTCACCTACAGGTGGGAGCTAGATGGTAAGTGGAACATCCAGAACACAAACTGGCATTTTTGTGCCATCCTGGCACATGAAAGGCAAGGACTTAGCCACTCGACCACCGTGCTGGCCCATCACGTTACATTTTTAAGAATGATTACTTCAGTTCCTTTTCCCCAGCAATAGTTTCATTGCATTTCCTGCTGCTTTGTCTGTCTTCCATTGAATCTTCTCATTGTAAAGATAGGAATCCTCAGGTCCAGTGTGCCAATTGGGGATCAGAGAAGTGTTCCTAGGTGAGCGTGTAAATCAGTGCTAGATTAGACTCCCTAGCTCCGAGTATAAGGTCAGTGCTCTCAAAGCAGCTAGCAAGGTTTTTCTTTGTTGTGTTTGTTAATCAAACTTTTGATTGTGAGATAAGTGTAGATTTGCAGCAGTTTTGAGAAATAATACAGAGATCACCTGAGCTGTGTGCCCAGTTGACCCCAAAGACAATGTCTTGCAGTAGCGCAGTGTCACACAGTCTGAGCTGGGTCGCAGCCTCTGTGGAGTCCAGGCACAGACCGTTCCTGGTGCTGCATGCTCCTTCCTGTTGTCCTCGCAGCCACCCCTACCGCCCGCCCTCTGCACCTCCCTCCTTGACCCCCAGCACCAAAGGTTTGTTATCTATTCATATAATTTTTGTCTTCTTAAAAAAAAATGTCCTCTACAGATGGAATGGTACAATATGGAACCTTTTGTGGTTGACTTTTTCCCCTCACTCGGCATATTCTCCAGAGATCGACCCAGGTGTCTTTGTGTATCAGTTTGTTCCTTCTTTTGCTGGGATAAATGCCCTGCTGTTTGTTCAGCCATTCATCTGTTGGAGGATGTTTGGATGGCATCCCACTTCGGCTATTGTAGGAGTAAAGCAGCTGCAGGTGATGATCACATATATGATTTTGTGGCTGTGATTCATAGTCTTCTTCTATCTCTCTCTCAAATAGATGCCCATGAGTAGAATTTGTGGTTACATAGTAATTACATGTTTGGTTGTTTTAAGAAACTGACAAAACTTTTCCCAAGTGTCTATACCATTTTTTATTCCTGTCTTTGTTTTTCATGTGTTGATTTGAAGAGCAGAGGAAGACAGAATTAGATCTTCTCTCCACTGGTTCTCGTCTTCAGATACGTGCAATAGCCAGGGCTGGGCCCATAGCTCCATCTTCATGTCTCCTGTGGGTGGAGCCATCGCTTGCTGCTGCCTAAGACATACATCAGTAGGAAACTGGATTGGAAGCAGAGGAGGGACTCATACCCAGGCACTCAATGTGTGCTTTAAATCTTACTTTGATTTTCAGCAATCTTAATTTCTCCTTTTAGGAAATAAAAAAAGATTCTTCTATTTAAAAGTATTACAGAGAGGAACAAGGAAAGAGAGGTCTTCTGTCCACTGATTTACTCTCCAAATGGGTCCAACTGGCTGATGCCAGAAGCCTGGAATTCCATTTGTGTTTCCCATGTGGTTGGAGGAATGTGCTAGACACATTGGTAGGGAGCTAGATCAGAAGCAGATCAGTCAGGACATTTTTTTAATCTTTTAAGATTTATTTATTTTTATTTGAAAGGTAGAGTTAAAAAGAGAGAGATCAAGCTTCCATCTGCTGGTTCACTCCCTAAATAGCCACAACGGCCGAGTGGGGCTGATCCAAAGCCAGGAGCTTCCTCCAGGGCTCCCACATGAGTTCAGGGGCCAAGGACCTGGCCATTCTCTGCTACTTTCCTGGGTGCATTAGCAGGGAACTAGATTAGAAGTGGAATAGCTTGGACTTGAACTGGCACCCAAATGGAATGCCAGTGCTGGAGGCAGAAACTTCGCTTGCTGTGCCATGGCACTGACCCTCGGGAGTCAAACCAGTACTCATATGGGATGCCAACATCACAGGCAGAAGCTTAACATGCACTGCCACAACACCAGCTCCAATAATCTTAAGCTCTGATACATAGTAAATTAATGTTTTTAAAGAACAAATTAGTGATGGGGAATAGAGTTTCAGATCCAGATCTGTGTCACAAATCCCTTTCTAAATTAAAAAAAGAGATTAATTCCATCTGTGTATTTCAGATAAATCTAAATATGAGATGAGTTGCAAGTTCTACTGTTCCTCTTCTGTCTTCTCTAGTTCTCTTTAAGAATGTCTTGGGATCCTGCACGGTAGTGTAGCAGCTAAAGTCCTCGCCTTGAACAGCTGCACCGGGATCCCATATAGGTGCTGGTTCTAATCCTGGCAGCCCTGCTTCCCATCCAGCTCCCTGCCTGTGGCCTGGGAATGCAGTTAAGGATGGCCCAAAGCTTGGGGACCCTCCACCCATATGGGAGACCCAGAAAAAGCTCCTGGTTCCTGGCTTTGGACTGGCTCAGCTCCAACTGTAGCGAACACTTGGGGAGTGAATCATCGGGTGAAGATCTTTCTCTCTTCTTCTCCTCTCTGTATATCCGCCTTTCCAATAAAAATAAATAAAATTAAATTAAAAAAAAAAAAAGAATGTCTTTTCTTTGGGCCCAGCACGATAGCCTAGCAGCTAAAGTCTTCACCTTGAACACACTAGGATCCTATCTGGGCACTGGTTCTAATGCTGGCTGCCCCACTTCCCATCCAGCTCCCTGCTGTGGCACCAGAAAGCAGTTGAGGATGGCCCAGATCCTTGGTACCCTGCACCCATATGGGAGACCAGAAGAATCTCTGGACTCCTGGCTTCGGATTGGGTCAGCTCCAGCTGTTGCAGCCACTTGGGGAATTAAACATCTGACAGAAGATCTTCCTCTTTGTCTCTCCTATCTGTAGATCTGCCTTTCCAATAAAAATAAATAAGTTTAAAAAAAAAGAATGTCTCTACTTCTCAAATCGTATGTGCTTTTCCTTTCATTTTCATTATTTCTATCATTCCCTTTCCTCTTACTCATTTTATTTATTTGTTTATTTATTAAAGGCGCAGACTTTAGCCACTAGGCCACCGTGCCAGGGCCTCATTTTATTTTTTCTTGTAACATGATCTTCCATCAGTGTCCACTAGACTCACCTCTCCTGCCAGAACCACTTTTTTCAGGGCTTCCCCAGTCTGAATTGTCATAGGAGGGCTTGGAGGATCCTAAAGAGTGAAGTGCTGGAAAACCTTGCCCCTGGGTAGCAGTTAATGGTGAGGTTCTAGGTAGGTTAGCATCTGTGGATTCATGTTGTCAAAGGCGTTACCGAGCCCTCGTCTTTCAGAGAGATCATTGTTTCCAAGACAGCCTCTGGGACGAAGTGACATGAACATGACAGCACATGAGAGCTGCTTCTTTCCCTTTATCGTGTGTCCATTTTTCATCTTAGGAGCTGCCTCGAAGCTCTGACCAAACCCCTTTCCAATCATGAGAAAGTTGTCCGACCAGCATTCATCTACAGTCTCTTCCCTAACATGCCCCCTACCATCTATTTTGGCACCCGGGATGAGAAAGGTAAATTGGCCAGGTGCCCAAAAGAGCCCCCCAGCAGAACGGGCCTGGCTGGGTTGGGGGGAGGTGGCCATGGGGTGGGAGAGGGATTCAACAGAAAGCCTGCTGACTGCTCAGTTCCCCCGTCTTACGGTCCGATGGGTCTGTTGTGTAGCCCACCCTCGTCAGCCTCATCTCCTGCTCAGTTCCTACCCTCCAGCCTCATTTCCTTCTTTCAGCTACCCTTGTCACTATTGATCCCTGCACAGTCCCCTTCCCTCTTGAGACAGTGTGGACTGGCTTGCCTGGCCGGGGGAGGATGGGCAGCCAGTGCCATCTTTTCCATTATCTTACTGGGACTCTCCTGCTCTTTTCCATTCCCCACTTCCTGTCTTCCTTGCAGTGGAGAAACTTCCCTGGGAACAGAGGAAGCTGCTGCGGTGGAAGATGAGCACAGTGACCCCCAACATTGTCAAGCAGACCATTGGACGATCCCACTTCAAAATCAGCAAGAGTGAGTCGCTTGCCTCGTTGCAGGCCTGTCCTTGCCTCAGCAGACAGACCTTAAGTGGGAGGAGTGCCCTCAGTAACCCTGGCTAGCCCGGGGCAGCCAAGGACCCTGTCTTGAAGGTTCCAAATTCAAAAGGGTTGCATAGCTTTAAACTCCCCACCCTGGGCTAAGCCTGTTGTTCCAAACTAGAAAACAGAAAGCCGTTGTTCTGCCTGGCCTTGGGGCCTAATGTGGGACTGCTCCATGGCAGCTTGTCAAAATCTGCGTCTGGGAGCAGGGCTGAGGCTCAGTGGTGTTTCTAGGGCTGCTGGGCTTCTCTCTGTCCCAGTGACTGAGCTAACAGCAGAACTGACTCCCTAATGTGCCTTCTGCAGGAAATGATGACTGGCTAGGCTGCTGGGGCCACCACATGAAGTCTCCTAGTTTCCGGACCATACGAGAGCATCAGAAGGTAAGGGCCCACCCATTCCATGCTCTGGGCAGTTGAGGTCTGTGGAGGGTGGTGTCAGATGTGGCAGGAGGAGGATGACCAGCAAAAAAGTCAAGGAGGGGTACAAACTGAGGCCCTAATGGTTCATGGGTAGCCTCTGCTTCGCTGCTGTATCTTGGGCAGTCGCTGCCTCTGAAAGACATTTTTTTTTTTCCCTAAGATTTATATATTTTTATTGGAAGTCAGATTTAAAGCAAAATTGTCCATGCGCTGGTTCACTCCCCAAGTGGCTGCAATGGCCAGAGTTGATCCGATCACAAGGCCTTGGGCCATCCTCCACTGCTTTCCCAGGCCACAGGCAGGAAGCTGGAAGGGAAGTGGAGCAGCTGGGATACGAACCAGCATCTATATAGGATCCTGGTGCATGCAAGGCGAGGATTTAGACACTAGGCTACGGTGCTGGGCTCATGTTGTTGTTGTTGTTGTTGTTTGTGTGTGTGTGTATGATTTATTTATTTTGATTGGAAAGGCAGATCAGATTTACAAAGAGAAGGAGAGATTGAGAGAAAGATCTTCCATTTGTTGGTTCACTCTCCCAGTGACTGCAATGGCTGTAGCCGAGCCTATCTGAAGCCAGAAGCCAGAAGCTTCTGGGTTTCCCAAAAGGTGCAGGGTAAAGCAGATGCAGAGTCTCAATGCTTTGGGCTGTTCTCAGCTGCTTTCCCAGGCCACAAGCAGGGAGCTGCATGGGAAGTGGAGCAGCTGGGACAAGAACCACTTTTTGTTTGGGCAAGGCAAAGGATTAAACTATTGAGCAGTTGCACCAGTGCAACACTGTTTTAAATTTCCTGCACATGGCCTTGGAATGCATGTAACAACTTCTGGTCTCAAATTGGACTGAATGAGTTCCTAACTCTCAAACCTAGCTAAAGACCAAGTTCTTCTCATCCTTGTTCCCTAATGGAAAATGATGTTAAATGCTTTGCTTTGTGCTTAAGATGTTTTGGAACCCTGCCCGGTAGCCTAGTGGCTAAAGTCCTCACCTTGCATGCTCCAGGATCCCATATGATCACTGGTTCATGTCCTGGATGCTTCACTTCTCATCCAGCTTCCTACCTGTGGCTTGAGAAAGCAGTCAAGGATGGCCCAAGGCCTTGGGACCTGCACCTGCAGAGGAGACTCCAAGGGGCTTCTGGCTCCTGGCTTTGGATCAGCTCATTTCCGCTGTTGTGGCCACTTGGGGAGTAAATCAGTGAATGAAAGATATTTCTCTCCTCTCTGTAGATCTGACTTTCTTTAAAAAAAAAAAATCTTTAAAAAAGAAAAGGTTGGGTGCAGCGCGATAGTCTAGTGACTTAAGTCCTCGCCTTGAACACGCCCCAGGACCCCATATGGGCGCCAGTTCTAATCTCGGCAGCTCCACTTCCCATCCAGCTCCCTGCTTGTGGCCTGGGAAAGCAGTGGAGGACAGCCCAAAGCCTTGGGACTCTGCACCCACGTGGGAGACCTGGAGTAAGTTCCTGGCTCCTGGCTGCGGGATCGGCAAAGCACTGGCCGTTGTGGCCACTTAGGGAGTGAATCATTGGGAGGAAGATCTTCCTCTCTGTCTCTCCTCTCTGTATACCCACCTTTCCAATAAAAATAAAATAAATCTTAAAAAATAAAAAGAAAGAAAAGGTCATTATGAATATGGTGTCTTACTCATCTTTCCGTGAGTGCCTAGCAATTGTGTGTGTAAGGCCCATTACACAGTGACAGTAAGAGGAGCGGGCACTATAGTATTATGAAGTTGGGATGGAGTGATGCGTCACTTCTTTCTCCTGAACTCACCTATACTGTCTCCCATCTTCCCTCTCTCTGTGTCCTTTCTGTAGCTGAACCACTTCCCAGGCTCATTCCAGATTGGGCGGAAGGACCGACTCTGGCGGAACCTGTCTCGCATGCAGAGCCGCTTCGGCAAGAAGGAGTTCAGTTTCTTTCCCCAGTCCTTTATCTTGCCCCAGGATGCTAAGCTCCTGCGCAAAGCATGGGAGAGTGGCAGCCGCCAGAAGTGGATTGTGAAGCCAGTAAGTAGGGGCCAAGGTGGGAGGATAGCAGCGTTCTGGGCAGAAAGCAGATCTCATCTCCTTGCATTTGACTTGCAGCCAGCTTCAGCCCGTGGCATTGGAATCCAGGTCATTCACAAATGGAGCCAGCTCCCCAAGCGGAGGCCCCTCCTGGTGCAGAGGTGAGCCTCTCTCCAGCCCACAGCCCTCTGTTCATCTTCCCAGCTGCCTCGCCTTGAACTTCCTTCCTTGCAGCATTCTCCCCTTCATCATGCCAGCCAGACACCTTCCTTCCCCAGCCGGTTTAAACTGTTTGACTCAGCAACTGCTTTTGCTTTTGCTGTGGCTTGGTCACCCTGGGAGCCCCATCTCATCTGGCTGGATGAGAAGTGGCCTTTGCCCTCCCTAGGTATCTCCACAAGCCCTACCTCATCAGCGGCAGCAAGTTTGATCTGCGCATCTATGTTTACGTCACATCCTACTACCCTCTTCGAGTTTACCTCTTCTCAGATGGACTTGTCCGCTTTGCCAGTTGCAAGTAGGTGATGGTGGGTCCGTGTCCCACTGCCAGTTGGAAGGGCAGCTGGAGGACACCAAAGGGAAGTGTAACGGATGTTTTTGTAGTTAGTGAGGGGGGAATGGTTTCCACTTTGCTTAGCTGGGGAAATCTTGCAGGGTTGAGGTGATGTCAGAGGGAGTGGGCCATGGTCTTCTAGAACCCTGCCAGCAAAGATCCTTCTCAGGCTTTCGTGGAGCTGAGAAGATCTGTACCATTTTTCTTTTACTTCCTCAGGGCTGCGGAGAGAGCAGCCCGTACCCCATTTGCTGTCTCGTCATCTTACCTCTGCTACTCTTTTGCTCACTTCCAGGTATTCCCCTTCCATGAAGAGCCTTGGCAATAAGTTCATGCACCTGACTAACTACAGTGTCAATAAAAAGAATGCTGAGTACCAGGCCAATGCAGATGAAACAGCCTGCCAGGGGCACAAATGGTACCGAGTGCAAGGCTTAGAGGAATGCAGGACGGTCCTGGGATTTGGGGAGACTTGAGGGTTGGGAGATGGAAGATGAATAAAACACTTGAAGATTACAGAGGCACTTGTTAATCCAGAGTTGCACTGTTTGCCTGCATGTTCATCTCTGTAAATGTGAAATATCAGGGGGAAGAGATGAAGAAAATGCCTGTGGGCCTCTTGTTTCCTTTTCATTCTGTTTCACTTCTCATTCCTAAAATATAGCCCTGATTCTTCCTCCTGCTCCCCGTGCAGGGCACTGAAGGCCTTGTGGACTTACCTGAGCCAGAAGGGAGTCAACAGCGATGCCATCTGGGAGAAGATAAAGGATGCTGTGGTCAAAACCATCATCTCGTGAGTGAACAGCACCAGCCTGGGGGTGGGGCCCACTGCTGACCCTGCCTCTCGTTGGCTTTATGTGACTGCGCCCAAACCCTGGCAGCACTGCAGGCCAGCTTGGAGGACAGGGGCCAGGAAGGAGTGGGTAGAGTCAGATTCTGCCTGTTCCCAGAGCTTCCTTCCCAGGAGCTGACCCTGGGTCAGAGGTGCTGCCTTTCCAGGGTTGCCTGCTGCTGGCCTCTCTGCCTCCAGTAGCTCCGCTGGCTGGGCAGCTCTCAGTAGGGTCCTCTGGGGATAGCTGAGCTGAATCCATCCTTGTCCTGTGATTAGGTCGGAGCCCTACGTGACCAACCTGCTCAAGATGTATGTGCGGCGGCCGTACAGCTGCCATGAACTCTTCGGTTTTGACATCATGCTGGACGAAAACCTTAAGCCCTGGGTCCTGGAAGTGAACATTTCCCCGAGGTGGGTGATATGCCCAGGCCCTGCCCAATGTGTTTCTGCTCTGTCAGGATCCCAGTGGCAATTGAAACTTATCAACTATGGAAGCTCCTGTGTTTCAGTAGAATTTTGGTTGAACTTTCAAGTGTGTTATTGCTTAAGATTTGTTTAGTTTTACTTGAAATAGTTTTTATTCATTGGAGATATGGGATTCCTTTCTACTCATTCATTTTCCAAATGCCAACTGTCTGGAATGGTCAGGGTTGGGTCATGGCCAGAGCCAGGAACTGGGAACTCAGTGCAGGTTCTCCTGCATGTGTGGCAGGAACCCAATTATTTGAGCCATCAGCACTGCCTCTCGGGCTTGTGTCAGTGAGAAGCTGGAGCTAGGAGCTGGAACCAAGTGTTGATGGTAGGCACTTGATGTAGAACATGGACATCTTAACTGCTAGGCCAAACATCTGTGTGCTTGCTCATTCACTCGTTCTTTGATGTTTTCTCAAAGTTCTCTGAGACTAGAGGCAGGTTGTTAACTGTTGTTCTTTTCAGTTTGATTCCCACTTCTCCCCTTCCCCTTCCTAGCAAGCTAATTCACTCTTTCTGGGGCAAGAGACTCTCATGGTTGTAGTCATGCATTTGGATGTTTGAGCCCTTTTCATCCCAGGAATGCCAGGGATAGCGGGCTGTGACATGGGCGTAGGGCAAGAGATCGTGAGGGCTGCTTTGACCATTCTGCATCCTTTGCCTGCAGCCTCCACTCCAACTCCCCGCTGGACATCAGCATCAAAGGCCAGATGATCCGGGACCTGCTGAACCTGGCAGGGTTTGTCCTGCCCAATCCGGAGGATGTCATTTCTAGCTCCAGCAGCTCCAGCAGTTCCAGCACCAGGTTAGCCTCCCTGCTGCTATGGACTCGGCTGGCAGCATGTATAGCCTGCTGTGGCTCTGGGAAGGACAGGGTTCTGGGCTCCGTCACCTGCTTGGCCCCCCTTGCTGCTCCATCTGCCCCTTCAAGCCCACGCAGCTGCCACTGCTATTGCTAGTACTTCTAAAAGCCTGTCTGGTTTCATTGCTCCTCTGCTCAGGAACCGCCACAGGGCCTAGGCGTCAGATTTAAACTCCTGGTCTGGACATTCGAGGTCCCGGTCTCCTTTTCTCAGACTCGTCTCTCTTTACTCCTCTTCATGGCCCCTTTGCTCTGGCCACGCGGATCCTTCATAGAACCTCCAATTGGAAGGCTCTTTAAGGGTCAGTGAGTCCCATTTCCTCTTGGAAGCCTTCACGTCCTCTTGCTGTTCCCCTCCAGCGTCCTCTCCTCTGCTCTCAAAGTGCCTTGGAGCCAGACCTCCCTGGTGTAACCTCAGTTATCCATTTAGCCCACCTCTAGAGCACATCTGCCACTTCTAAGGGGAGGGAACTGAAATGTGGTCAATGTCTTTGATATATAAGGAAAAGCCTGTCATTACTCCTCCCCACAATTGTAGTTGCACGTCTCACAGAAGGAGGTTAGGAGCACATCTCTGTTTCACTCAAAAGTGGCTATAGTCATCATAGTGGCATGGGTGATGAAACTAGGGGGTGCAGGCCAATTAAGTCAAAGCTACCAGCCGGGTGTGTGGTAGGTGGCAATTAAATTTAGTAAAGCTGAAGTGTGCGGGAGATGGGCTGACTCAGCCAGTGTCTCATGCTCTTCCCATCTGGCCATGGCACACGCTGTTGGGGACTCTCAGGCTGCTCCTGTGCAGTACCATCTGGTGTGAGGCACTCTGTGAGCACGCGTGCCTGCTTGCATGGTGGTCCTCTCGTGAAAGGGCACCCCTCTAGGCTGGCCTTTCCTGAGTGTGTGCCCAGTGGGGAAGCTGCTGATCCTGGCTTGCTTTTCTCCTGTGCCGTAGCCTGTCTGGCTCTCCCAGGGACAAGCGACGAATGACCCCACAACATCTCACTGCACAGAAGATGAAGGAAGCCTATTATCTGACCCAGAAAATTCCTGATCAGGTAGGAGACTGGTCGCCCACCCTTGTGCTGGCACAAAGCATGTGTGTTCAATCATTCAGGAGCCCAGGGCAACCCAAATATCCCTCTTCCCAAGTGGGATTTTTCAGCCCCTGGGGTACAGTGATGTGTTGGAATGTGCTTAATTGTGGGAGAGAGTTAGCTGGTGGTCTTTATCAAATTTGTAAGAACTACTCCTCATAGTGAGATGCCGTGCTGACCCTCTTCCTGTCCCAGCTATCAGCTGTGCCCCTGTGGGCTTCCTTCCTTGAGAGGTGCAGTGAAGCTGTGGGATGTTTGTCCTTTGCAGAGCAGATACATATAAGAGAGACCCCGTAAGGCTGGTGCTAAATCTTAAATTGTAGATCCAGATCTTGACTGCATGCAACAAACCACTTAGAACCCTCCCAGCTCCCCTGGCCCCGACCAGAGTGTCTTCCTTCTCTGGCTAAGTTAGTACTCGGGGGTAGACAGGTACAGAGCTGACCCAGTAGGCTGGGGCTTTGTGGTAGCAGATGATTCCTGGAACCCCAGGACTCCAGCATGATCCTCCCCGGCTTCCAGTGATTTGATTTGATTCTTTGCCTCTGGCTCTCCCAACACCCCATCAAACTCTCATGCTTGCTGTTCTTTGGGTCATAGGACTTCTATGCATCCGTGCTGGATGTCCTGACGCCAGAAGACGTTCGAGTGCTAGTTGAGATGGAGGATGAGTTTTCTCGCCGTGGTCAATTTGAACGAATTTTTCCTTCTCGAATCTCCTCTCGCTATCTCCGCTTTTTTGAGCAGCCACGCTATTTCAACATTCTTACCACCCAGTGGGAACAGAAGTACCATGGCAACAAACTCAAAGGTGAGATGCCCTCTCTGGCCACAGGGAGCCATATTCAGGCAGAGAGGAAATTCTGATAGGTGTAGACATGGCCTCTTTGGGAAGAATAGACCAGTAGATTTCACCCTTATAAGTCTCAGCGTCTGCTGGTGTTGTCCTAGGTGTGGATCTGCTCCGGAGTTGGTGCTACAAGGGGTTCCACATAGGTGTCGTCTCTGATTCTGCCCCAGTGGTGAGTGGTATCAGTGTGTGTTGTGGGAGGGATATCTCTTTGCCTGGAAGGGCACTGTGGTTGGGTTGCAGGTACGCACCTTGTTTCTCCCCAGACCCTGCCTCTTCATCTTAGGGACCTTCCCTTTCAAGGTAGTGCTGGTCCACAGCTTCTAATCTGATTGAGGAATCAAGGTGTTTACCAGTGGACCCATGATCATTTAGTGGGCAGGCTGGGGAAAAATGGCCTGAGACCCCGGGCTCTGCTGCCTGGCCTCTGCCTATCCCTGTGAACCTCACTGCTTCCTTTCTTCTTAGTGGTCTCTCCCAGTGTCACTTCTGACTGTCCCAAAGGATGAGAGGACACTCAATGCCTTATACCAGTTGGAGACGGACAAGCTGGAGTGAGTACTGCCTGCCTGGCCAAAAAAGGGGACAGGGCATTGGCTGTGAGTTTGAGTTTTCCTTCTGTGACAGCGGAATCATGAGACTCCAGTGGGTTTGGCAAGTGTGAGGATATGCAGTTGTAATAGCCAGTTGAACTCACCTTTAGAGAGGTTTTAGTCCTCCAGCCTTACCACATGCTCCTACACTTATACTCTTTATGTATATATATCTTTATTCAAGCCCAGGTGCCACCCCCCCTCCTCAGCCATGTGCGCCCCTTTGCCCTCCCTCCTTCCCCCCCCCCACACCACCGTGCCCTCCTCCAGCAAAGTGCTGCTCTGTACGCTTACACTCTTAAGCCTTTGAGTACATAAGACGTGTTTTATGGGCTTCATATCAATATAAGTAAAGTCTGCCGTGCATCATGTACATGCCTGCTTCAGACTCTGAAGCAGATCACAGTTGGAGGGTGTGTGTGGTGCAGCAGTTAAGCCACCGCTTGAGATACCCAGGTCCAGTATGAGAGCACTGGGGATAGAGGCCAGGCTCTGTCCATCCTGCTCCCAGCTAGCAGGTGGAAGCAAGGCCTGCAAGACAGCAGGTGATGGCCCAAGTACATGGGGCCCTGTCCTCACGCAGGAGACTCGGGCTAACTTGGGTGCTCCTGGCTTCAGCCTGGTCAGTGCCAGCTGTCATAGGCGTTTGGAAGGTTGCATTAGTGGAGGGATGGGCTCTCTGTCACTCTGCCTTTTGAATAAAAAATAAAACTAGATACATAAACAGAAGATGTAAAAGACTGAATATTAGTAATCAAAATTACTTTTTAAGATAATTTCAGCCATGCAGTATCTCAGCTCTTTCTTTCCCCACCTGTTGCCTTCAGAAAACTCAGCTGCTCTGAGGGAAGCCCACTGACGTCTGAAGATGGATCCACATCGGAAGCCAGGACCATCCCAACAGGCCTTACCCCAGGAAACCCTGTTCCTCGGAGGACACTGGGGACACCAGCGAAGAGCTCAGCCTCCTTATCCCAGCATTGCCTGTGATGAGGTGCTGTGGCTGGACCCCAATACTTTCCTTCCTCCACTTCCTAGTCCACCAGGGCTTCCCCCCGGCTGCCGTGAGCCCATAACTGATCGGGAGCACCAGCATCAGCTACCTCAGGGGAACCCACCTGCTTGTCCACCTGAGCACCACCCCTCCACCTCACCCCCTAGCAGAGTATTTTTTTGAATCAGTTGTGTTGTAGAAATTGGCGTTTGGAGTTGCTGCGCTGGGGCTGGCCCCTCCTGCCTCGACTGAGCAGCCTGGGGTGGCCATGCAGAGCTGTGGTGGGGCTGGCCCCTCCTGCCTTGGGGCTGAGCAGCTCCAAGGTGGCCATGCAGTTTGGTGGTGGGGCTAGCCCCTCCTGCCTCGGCTGAACAGTCCGGGGTGGTGATGCAGAGTGGTGGTGGGGCTGGCCCCTCCTGCTTTGGCTGAGCAGTCTGTGGTGGCTGTGCAGAGCTGTGGTGGGGTGGGCTCCTCCTGCCTCGGCTGAGCAGCCCCAGGGATGCCATGCAGCCTTATAAAGCAGGGTTCAGTGTCTACCTCCGGAGAGCCCCATGTGCACATGCTTTGTGTTAGACCTGGGTGCAGTGGTTGAATGGAGCCCGGCTGTGGGCAGGAAGCCCTTTGTTCTCCAGTCAAGGAGCGTCCTGTCCTCCCCAGCCTTAACCCCTGGCCGCTTCCAGCAAGATCCTGACTTCCTCAGTAGGGGGCAGAAGAGACGAGGGCATGCTCAACCCATGCCTCATCACCCTAGTGGTGACTGTTCTTTCAGGCCTCCCCACCCCCTGCCAGAGGCTCTAGGTGTTTTCATTCTGGCTGCATTTCCCTCCCTCCCCCCCATTGAGCCTCCTAGACCTCCCTCACAGCGGTTACCTCTTCAGCTCCTGGCTCTGTGTGAGGTGTGAGGTTCTGTGTACTTTGTGAATGTCCCCCAGCCCAGCATGGAAGTCTGGCTAATCCCAGTTGCCATGAACTGTGGCCCTACGTTGCAGGACATGAGCCAGTGTGCATTGGGGCTGGGTGGAGGGTGAGAGGAGCCGTGGCTTTCCCACCGTGTGGGCCGGTGGCTTAGCGGTTGGGTTCAAGAGGTTCACTACTGTAGGCTGGCCTTCCAGTCAGATGCTTGGACTGTTGAACTGAAATGAATCTACCTCCCTCCCCAAGCCTAAGTAAACAGTGAGTGCTCAATAAATGTTGACTGAGTGAACTGTACCTACAGAGATCTCAAGGGAAAGCGTCAGAGCCAGAAGTTCTCTCCTGGGAGAAGCACAAATCTTAGAGTGGGTCAGAAAAGTGATTTGCACTTGGACCATGTTTGTCCTCAGCTGAGCTTGCTGTGGCTACAGGCCACCTACTCAGTCCTCAGAATCTGTTAATTGCTGTTCTAACTTGATAACTTACCCAGTCACTGTTTGCAGGAAGAACAGGCAGTGCTGAGAATGGGGTACAGTTCAGGGTGTTTGTGGGGCAACCAGAGTAAAAGGTGGGGTGGTCACTGTTCCCATGTGCTTCAAATCCACTTGGCATTGATCAGAAGCTACTTTTCCCTAGAATGAATATCACTGAAGAAGTGGCTTTGTGTCAGGAAAAGAGCTTGTGGGCCTTCCAGTGACCTGACACTGTGACCTTGAACTTGTCAACTAACTTGCTATCTGTTTCTTCATAATATGAACTCAATCCCTAGCTGGCAGGGATCATGGAAGTGGAAACCATATCTAGTAGAAGTGCTTGGGACACAGAGGACACTTACAAGTGGTCAGTCCTCTTATCTGAGTGTCCTTAAGTGGCAAGGAATGTCACAACCCTTTCCCAGGGGACATGCTTGAGATGCTGTAGAAATGAAACATCCAGAACACGATTGCGGGGGTAGTGTGTTAGCTTAACTGGTTAATATTCCACTTCCCGTGTGGGTGCTGGTTTGTGTCCTGGCTGTTCTGCTTCCCATCAAGATCCCTCCTGTGGCCTGGGAAAGCAGTGAAGGACAGCCCAAAGCTTTGGGACCCTGTACCCATGTGGGAGACCTGGAAGAAGCTCTTTGTTCCTGATTTCTGATCGGTTCACCTCTAGCTGTTGTGGCTATTTGGAGTGTGGACCACAGATGGAAGATATTTTTGTCTTTTCTTATCTCTGTAAATCTGTCTTTCCAATAAAAATAAATGAATCTTTAAAAAAAAAAAAAGTGAAGCATCCAGATCATGGTTAAGTATGTCACTCTGTCTGCACGTGAGTGTGCACAAAAACACCATGAGTTTACATCTTGCTGTTACCACTCTGGAGAAGTTGCCTCTGGTTACAAGCCCAGGTGGGCATGTTCCCTGGCCTAGGGAGTATGCTCAGCATTAGCAATGTGTCAGACAAGTGAGACCAATTGTCTTAAGAAGAAAACCTTTGATGGGAAGGGGAGAGGGGCTGGTGTGGTAACTCAATAAGCTAATTCTCCACCTGCAAGTTTTAGGATCTCCTGTGGCTGCCAGTTTTTTTCCCAGGTGCTCTGCATCTGCTCTGCTCTGGCATTCTGACTCTTTGGGGAATAAACCAGCGGATGGAAGAGCTGTCTCCTCTATAAATTTGCCTTTCCAATAAAAATATAGAAGTGGGAGTAGGGAAGGTCCAGGGAGCAGCAAGGGTGCCTAGAGGCTGGAAAAGGGAGAAGCAAGTACAGAGCCTTCAAGTCTAGAGCAGTGGTCAAAGAACAGGTGTGGGGAGGCATTGGTGGTCCACACAGGTACATCCTCTGGCTTCTGGCTGTTTCACTAAGGGTGACTGCCCTTCTGATTATTAGAGGTGCCCTGGTCTGTTTGCCCTGAACCTGCTCTTTGGTGCTGTTGAAACCGCAACTGCTTTGGGAATGATGGTTTCCAGAGATGTGGCTGCAAACTACAGTTCACACCACTTGAAACTCAGGCTCAGCTTCTCAGCCAACCCTTCTGGGCCTGTGGGATCTCCACGTGCACCTACCTTTATTTGGGGTTGGTGCTGGTGCTTTGGACTTGCCCCTTTTCCAGACCTAGATGACTGCAAGTAATTTCTTGCAGGACTTATTTGAAAGGCAAAAATGATGAGAAAAAAAAAAAGTTTCATTCGCTGGTTCACTCCCCAAATATCTGCAACAAGCTGGAACTAGGCCAGGCTAAAGCTCAGAGCCAGGAACTGCATCCTTGTTTCCACATAGGTGTCAGGGACCCAAATACTTGGGCTATTTGCCACTGCCTTCACAGACACCTGATCAGGATGCTGGATCAGAAGTGAAGTGACCCCTCTGGTAGAGGATGCCAAACACTGCCCACGCAAGCATTCTTAGGCTAATCTTAGCAGAGTTTTCATGTGGGTGGGATAATCCAAAACAGACTGATTGCTGAACGATTGTTTTTTTAAACCCATTTGTGCCTTAATTATGGTGGACTGTGAGAAAATGCTGCAGGAAAAGATGGCACAGTTTTGGAAAAAGTGCTTAACCTTTGAAAGTTTCAGTTAGTAAATTAGGGATACCAAAATTTACCTAAGAGGTTGTAATGGAGACCAAATAGAAAAAAAAAAAAAAAGGCATAAAACACCTGAAAAGTTCTTCATACCTGGATGGAACAAATTTAGACTATTTAAAATTTTATTTTCATTGGAAAGGCAGATTTACAGAGAGAGAAGGAGAGACAGAAAAATCTATCCATTGATGCACTCCCCAAGTGATTGCAATGGCCAGAACCAAGCTGATTTGAAGCCAGGAGCTTCCAGGTCTCCCATGTGGTTGCAGAGTCTTTGGGCCATTCTGCATTGCTTTCCCAGGCCACAAGCAGAGAGCTGGAAGGGAAGTGGAGCAGCCAAGACAGAAGCCAGTGCCTGTATGGGATCCTGGCATTTGAAGGGGAAAGGATTATCCATGAGCCCTCACGCCAGGCTCTAAATTAGACTCTCAAACAGTTCAAAACCTGCCACCCAGGAGCAGAGGTCTAACCTGGGGGTTAAGATGCCTACATCCCACACTGGTGTGCCAGGGTTCAATTTCTGTCTCCTGCAAGGCGGACCTGGATGGAGCTCCTGGCCCTGGCCAGCCCTGGCTGTTGTGAGCCTCTGGAAAGTGGATCCAGTGAGCCTGGGCTCTCTGTCTCTACCTCTCAAAACAAAAACCAAAACACTTGTACCAAGTGTTACTTTCCTAAAGTGGCAATCATGTAGCAAATGATAGTATTAAAATACTGACTACCATGTTACTATTTTGCAAAACTGTGTTAAAGGGTCCGGGCCGGTGGCGCAGTGGTTAAGGTCCTCGCTTTGCACGCCCTGGATCCCACATGGTCGCCGGTTCTATCCCAGCAGCCCTGCTTCCCATCCAGCTCCCTGCCTGTGGCCTGGGAAAGCAGTCGAGGACGGCCCAAAGCTTTGGGACCCTGCACCCGTGTGGGAGACCCGGAAGAGGCTCCTGGCTTCAGATTGGCATAGTATTGGCCGTTGCACTCACTTGGGGAGTGAATCATCGGACGGAAGATGTTCCTCTCTGTCTCTCCTCTCTGTATGTCCGCCTTTCCAATAAAAATAAAATAAATCTTTAAAAAAAAAAGAACTGTGTTAAATATTTTTTTGATTCTGGATGGGAGACTAAAGCTAAGGATTTAATAAAATAATTACAAAGATTAGGGCCCTTATCATTCATCATCAAGTGAAACAAACTACAGTGAGATATCTGACTTTGCAATAAAAAAAATAAATAAATCTTAAGAACCATTTTCACTTTTTTTTTTAGGATTTATTTATTTTTATTGGAAAGTCAGCTATACTATACTGAGAGGAAAAGAGAGGAAGATCTGTCTGCTGATTCACTTTCCAAGTGGCTGCAATGGCCAGAGCTGAAATGATCCGAAACCAGGAGCCCAAAGCCTCTTCTGGGTTTCCCACGCAGGTGCAGGGTCCCAAGGCTTTGAGCCGTCCTCCACTGCTTTCCCAGGCCACAAACGGGGAACTGGGTGGGAAATGGGGCCTCTGGGATTAGAAACAGTGTCTATATGGGATCCTGGTGCATGCAAGGCAAGGACTTTAGCTGCTAGGCTACTGCGCCAGGCCCGAGCCATTTTCACTTCTTTGGATCATTCACTATGTTCTCAGTATGTTGGTACAAGTGTTGGTGTGGCAGTTAAGATGCTGCTTGGGACCCCTGCACCTCCTATCAGAGCACATGTGTTTGAGTCCCAGCACTACTCCTGTTCCAGCTCCCTACTGATGCACACGCTTCCAGGTAGTAGGGGCCCTGCCACCCAGGAAACCTTGAATGACTTCTGGGATTTTGGCTTTGGCCTGGCCCAGCTGTAGCTGTTAGGGGCTTTTGAGGACTGAACAAGCAAGTGGGAGATTTCGCTCTCTCTCAAATACATTAATAAAACAACTAATGATTTAAAAAAATAATAAAAGAGCTAGTGTTGTCACAGGGCCGGTTCAGTGGCCTCTTGCAATGCTGACATCCTAATTGTGTGCCAGCTCCTGCCTAATGTGCCTGGAAAAGCAGTGGAAGATGTTTTCGTGCGTAGGCCCCCGCCTCCTATGTAAAAGACCTGGATGGAGTCCCAGGCTCCTGGCTTCGGCTTGATTCTCAAGCCATCGGGGAGGGGGGGGGACAAATACACGGAAGACCTTTCCCTTTCTGTCTGTAACTGTTTCATATAAATAAATATCTTTGAAAAAAAAAGATTTTCTTCTTGTGTTAAAAAAATCAAGCTAGGTGATATTGGAGATATTTTTAAATCAAAATAACAGTGAATGAAAAATAGGAAGATGAATGAAGATATTAAGTATATGCATAAAACAGCAATTAATATATCAGGGACCTGGGGCGGGTGGGAGACGGGGTGGGGCTTCTCCCTCATTATCGCCCTTTACCTTAGATACATGAAGGAAACAATGTGGAAATAATAGTCTTACCCACTTTCCTGTAGCCTTTGAACCTTTTTACCCTAATTAACTAAGTAAAAATTGTCAAAAATATAATTAAAAACTGAAATTAAAAAAACCAGCAATTAATACTAAAATCAAATTGATGTAAAGCAATTAAATATTTCTAATGTTAGACTCAGGGAGAGTCCAACCCCGTGGAGGGGAGTCACACCGTCATTGGCAAAACAAGTCAAACGCAGAGGCTGCAATAAGCATGAGGATTTTATTGAACATTCGCGAATGGGCAACAGAGTCTCTGGAGGCATCCAGGACTCTGTGCGCCCCAAGCAGGTTAAAGCACCTTTTTAAAGG